TTATTATTATTATTATTATTATTATTATTATTATTATCAAACAATACATTCTCCAGGTTATTTGTAAAAGCTGTTGCAAGAAGATGACTCTCTCATTCATGAAGGGAGATAAACAGCGTGTCTGTGTCGCTTGCTACGCCGTGGTGGAGAGCCGCAGAAACGAATGCAAGTCTATCAGCTTTGAGCCCACTGAGGAGGCAGAGGTGAGGAACTGTCACAGATTTATAGTATCCTAGACCGTGCACTATGACATATTTCAGGCTCACTATGGAGTGCGCCAAATTGAAGGCAAACGAGACAGGTGGTTGACTCGGAGCAACTAACTTGAAGAACTTAACCCGCTCCGTGACACAGGGTCAATTATTGTGAGGTGTGCTGCCAAAATGAGTTACTTCTCGCAATCCCCAAATGGAAATACTGGCCAAAAATTGACACAAAAAAAGGACAAATTTGTTGAATTTCTATTGATGCCATATTTTTTAACTATAGTACATTCCTTTTATTATTTCTTACGTATAAATTTTGAAAAATTGACCTATAAGTATGATATATATATTTTCTATCGAGCTTGAATACGAGAAGTGACTCATTTTGTCAGCACACTTCACAGTTCGGGCTTCACCGTGCACAGTTTTGGATCCCCAGGGACACAGAACAGCGCTAGATTTCACTGTCGGCTTCCTGTGTAATAAGACCCGGTTTGCTCATACTAATATGTGACGCAGCGTGATGGAATCAGGCACTTGTCAAATTTTGGGCATGCAGAGTTATTGGTATCATCATAAAGCTTGTTCACTTGTCTTTATTTGGATGAAAAAAATATCCATTTATCTTGAATACAAGTCGGGATATTTGCGAAAGAAGGAGGCTCATGGGGGTCACCTATTTTCAGAGGTAAAATTAATGAGAAAATGGCTGCCAAAGATTAGTTTTTTACTTAGCTCAAGAGTCTGTTGTAACTGAAAATTTACATTTTTGTGCCTTTAATCAAAGCTTTTCAAAATAATCCACACAGAAATGAGTTCTTTAATGGGCATGAAAGATGTTGAGCCAAAAAACAAAAATTTGATAAAACTTGATGAAACCCACATGGGAAGCTCACTGATAAAAACAATCAGGAAACGACAAAGGCAGTTTTTGGGACACCTGAATAGACAAAAAGGTCTGGAACATCTAGCTCTCACTGGCAAAATTGGATGCAAACGAGGTGGGGGTAGGCCCAGAACAACATACTTAGGGAACCTAAACAAATGGGTAACAGGAAAAGATCAGGGTAACAAAGCTTTTTTGAGAGCATCCAAGCAAAAGGATGAATAGAGAACCATGATCGCCGATGTCTGTCGCAGATCTGGCACTGGATGATGATGATCTCCATCTTTGGATTGCGAGAAGTAACTCATTTTGTTCTTCATAGTTTGTGAGGCTCTCCATCCGTTTGGCTTATTCCTGCCAGAGAGGGATGTTAAATTTTTTTTGCCCAGCACTTTGTGACCAGCGTAGCACCTACCTACCTGCCTCCCCAGACATCGGAAACACTCTATACAGCGACAAAGCACAGCTGATTAAAACCTGTCAATTCTTTGCCATATCGACAGACCGAAGGGCGAGAACCCAAATGGCCTCTGGATCAGAAAAGTAAAGTAAAGATGTTAAATTCGGAGGTCACGCCTCTAAAATGACCTTGCCATGTTGAAGGGAGGGGTAAACCTATACTACGACCACTGGTGTATTTATGTTTGTGCTTATATACGTATTTATGTATGTATACATTTATAATAATGTATTTTTGTATGTATGTATGTTTGCCATTGTAAACCAAATTGTCCTTCCAGGATCAATAAAATTGTAATTTGTGAGGCAGCGTGGTGGAATCAGGCTCTCGTCAATTTTTGGGCATGTAGAGTTATTGGCATCATCTTAAAGCTTGTTTACTTGTCTTTATTTTGGTGAAAAGAATATCCATTTATTTTGAATACAAATCAAGATATTTGCGAATGAAGGAGGTGGGGATACCTGTTTTCAAAGGTAAAATTAGTGAGAAAATGGCCGCCAAAGATTAGTTATTTCCTTAGCTTAAGAGTCCATGGTAACAGAAATTTTACATTTTTTGTGCCCTTAATCAACATTTTTCTGAAAAATCCACTCAGCAATTAGTTCTATGATGGGCATGAAAGGTGTTGAGCCAAAAAACAAAAATTGAATAAAAATTCACAAACCTGTGGAAAAATGCCAGTTTCTTCACTTTGATTATTTTGACGAGAGCCTGATTCCACCACGCTGCCTCACATTTATATATTTTATTTTATTCGTTTTAGTTAAGATTTTGTGGTGATTAAAATGTATTTTTTTAAGGGGAAGGGTAAGAATATCAATAAACTTAAATTTGGTCTTAAAAACGAACAATTAAGGGAGTTGTTTTAGTCCGTTTTGTCTTTCTATCTACAGGACGGTGGCCCAGACAGGAAGAAATCCACTAAGATCAACCGTCAAGCTCTCTTAAGCCAGCTGCAGGAATTGGAGAAAGAAAAGGCTACGATAACTAGTGAACTGTAGGTTCATAGAACTCTAGGTTCATTATAGAACTCTAGGTTCATTATAGAACTCTAGGTTCATTATAGAACTCTAGGTTCATTATAGAACTCTAGGTTCATAGAACTCTAGGTTCACAATTGCTACCCCAGAACTAGAAAGTTTTATCTGCTCAGTACCTTGTTTTGAGAAATTTGACTTTTACCCTCGTCAATTTTAGGCATATGGGACTATTGGTACTATTTAAAGCTTGTTCAATTGTCTACCTTTTTATGACAAGACGTCTCACATTTTTCAATTGTTTTCTTTATCTGAAAATTTTACAAGCAGGCTACAAAATGTATACTCTAAAGTATGAGGAGTCCATAGAAAAAATGGGCATAGTCACACACTGGAAATCATGAGGGTGTCAATTTTACAAGCTTGTGGACTCATAACTTCATATTTCAATTTTTTTCATTGGTGGTTTATTGACATTATGTTTGTTGAATGGGAAATCTAACAACAATAATCAACCAACATTTGAACAGTAATACAGTTATGAGTCAACTAGCGTTCAAAATTGATACCCTCACAATTTTTGGTTTGTGACTATTCCGGTTTTCCCAGTGCACTCCTCATATGCATAATCATGTTTTGGCTTGAAACGTGCCGCAAATTGCTTTTGATCTGCGGTGGATTGTGTCCACGCCATCCTTCACCCTTCATTGCTGAGCTACATCCATCCTCATTTGCACAGACAGTGAGTTAAAATACTCATTCACGAGAGCTTGATACAAAGCTGAAATATCTGTACCCTTATTCGAGAATAAGAAATTGTAAAAGTTGCAATTTCATCTCCTAAAACGTCTGTATGAATTATGATGTTGTAGTCGGCAAGCTGTTATGATATTATTTATGTCTGGCCCATTTTATTTATTTGGCCCAGGAAGCCATATTTTACCGGAGAGAAAAAAACCAACTTTAATTTTTGTTAAAACAATTGAACCTGCTTTAAGAATTTTTTCTTGCTTTTTTTCAACATTTAGAAAACATGCCTTCAAGCTTTGTCAAGACAGACAGACGGACGGACGGACGGACGGACGGACGGACAGACGGACGGACAGACGGACAGACGGACAGACGGACAGACAGACAGACAGACAGACAGAATCACTCTGTAACCCCCTCCCCCTTTTTCCCCAGATATGCTTTACAAAGAGAAGGGGGACGAATAGGAGCTTCCATTACCATTGATAAGTTTCACTATGTACAGCATAAGATTTATAATCTCAAGGTTAGTATAAGTATAACCTCTCTCTCTCTCT